CCTGCTCTCCAGCTGGTGTCAGTGCTGGCTGAGCACCTCCACAGCGGGTCCTGGCAGAGTGGGACACGAGGGAGGCTGGCAGAGGGGCAGTCAGCAGCACCTCTGTTGTGATGGGGCCCTGCCAGCACCTTGTGTGCAGCTGTTCCTGGCCCAGGACCCCGCAGCTGCCACATGCTCCTGCTGCACCACTTCCTGCCCATCCCCAGGGCAGGACACAGGGTGGGACATGGGACATATGCAGAGCAGACCATCCTCACAGCCAGATGGAAACCATCCACAGCCTGAGAGTCCTGCTGGGGAGTGTGTCTGCTTGGTAGCTCGGCCGTTTGCAGGGTGGCTTTGAGCTCGTGTCTGGGAAGGCATTTCCAAAGGGCAGGACACCAGAGCTTCACCAGCAGCCTGGATTCCTAAATCTGCATGACAGGCTGGCTGCATCCAGGGTATCCATGTACCATGAACGAGCTACTGGTGGGATGCAGCTCTCACAAAATCATAGAATCACACACTGGTTTGGGTTGGAAGGGGCTTTAAAGCTCACCTTGTTCCACCCCCTGCCATGGGCAGGGACACCTTCCACCAGCCCAGGCTGTCAGAGCCCTGCTGTAGGAGAGCAGACCCTCCTTGGGAGGGTGTCCCTGAGCCAGTCTGCATTTCAGACCAGCACAGCCCCTGCCCCCTCCTGCCTGACCTCCTGGCACTGCATCAACCCCCCCAGTGGTGCTCAGGGAAGGGCTGTGGGTGCTCTGGGAGCGGTGGGAGGCTGAGCCTGCCAGGCTCCTGGGGCCATGGTGGCACTGGGAGCTGGCACTGGGAGAAGGTCAGTGTGTGCAGAGCAGGCTCAGGCTGTCAGCACAGCTCTGCTGAGCCCCTGCAGGGGGGGCAGCCAGGGGGGCCCTGCTCAGGAGCTGTCAGGCAGTGCCCAGCACTGGGGGTTTGCAGTCCAGGGAGGAAAACCAGGACACTGGGCTGAAGGACATCCTGGAGAGCTGGGGTTTGGTGTGGTGCAGAGCACACGGGAATTTCCAGGGCCTTGGGAGAAAAGGAGGTTTGGGCTAATATTTTAAAAGAGGAAACAGGGTGCCGTGGGTAATTTCAGGTCTGTCAGGCTGACATTGATCCCAGGGAAAATAGTGGAACAGCTGATAGGGAATGCAATGAATAAAGAATCCTAAAGGGTGATATAATTAATGCCAATCAACAGGGATTTATGGAAAAGAGATCCTGTTAATCCAATCTGACACCTTTCTTCCTGTTGGTTTTTTTTCCTCTTTTCCTTTAAAAACAGGATTGCATTTCTCTGTCGAGGCGGGGAGGTTTGCTGAGGACACTGGAGCAGCAAGGGATCACCTGGACACTGTGTGTTTTCTCATAAAAAAATAGGAAAACCCTAAAAACATATTGGTTAAGACCACATTTTGGAGCTCATGAGTGGGCACAGATTGTCACTGCAGGGTCTGCAGGGGATTGTCCCCTGGCTGGCCCCACCAGCAATGGGGAGGATGCTCTGGGCTGTGTCCCCAGTGCACTGGGAGCAGAGATGTTCTGCTGGGATGTCACAGGGGGTGCTGGAGGGACACACTGCAGGTGATCTGCACATTGGGGAGCACTGGGCATCAGGTTGCCATGGAAAGGCCTAATAATGCTGGTGGGAAGAGTTCAGAAGAGGCCACAGAGATGCTCCAGGGCTGGAGCCCCTCTGCTCTGGAGCCAGGCTGGGAGAGCTGGGGGGGTTCCCCTGGAGCAGAGAAGGCTCCAGGGAGAGCTGAGAGCCCCTGGCAGGGCCTAAAGGGGCTCCAGGAGAGCTGGAGAGGGACTGGGGACAAGGGATGGAGGGACAGGACACAGGGAATGGCTTCCCACTGCCAGAGGGCAGGGATAGATGGGATATTGGGAAGGAATTGTTGGCTGGGAGGGTGGGGAGGGGCTGGCCCAGGTTGCCCAGAGAAGCTGTGGCTGCCCCTGGATCCCTGGAAGTGTCCAAGGCCAGGTTGGACGGGGCTTGGAGCAACCTGGGCTGGTGGGAGGTGTCCCTGCCCATGGCAGGGGGTGGAATGAGGTTGGGCAGGAAATAAAATCAACCACATAAAGGGGAAATTTTGGTCCAAACAGCTCCAACAGCAGATGGAAAGGGGGATTTCCAGGCCAGTGGCTGGGGCTGTACCCAGGGAGCCTCACAGGGAGGGAGGGGGCTTGGGACAGCAGGTGCAGGGCACGAGCTGGACACTGTCCCCACCACTGCACCAGACAGCAGTGACCCTGGGGCAGGACATCAGTCTCAGAAAATATTGGTAAATACATTTACTTATAGACTGTCTAGGCCCATATCCAGAGGCGTGTCCAGGTGGGACTGCACCTTCTGGCTCTGCAACTCCCTGACAGGAGGGGGGAGCCGGGGGAGGTCAGACTCTGCTCCCAGGGAACAAGGGACAGGACAAGAGGGAACAGCCTCAAGTTGTGCCAGGGGAGGTTTAGGCTGGATATTAGGGAAAGTTTTTCATGGAAAGGATTGTCAAGCCCTAGCACAGCTGCCCAGGGCAGTGCTGGAGTCACCATCCCTGAAGGAATTTAAAAGACATGTGGATGTGGCACTTGGGGACAGGGGTTAGTGGTGAGTGTGGAAGTGTTGGGGGGATGGTTGGACTCAGTGGTCTTAGAGGGCTTTCCTAACCTCAGAGGTTCTATGGTTCTGTGGTTCTATGACCTGACAGCCCAACCATCCCCATGCTCTGGGTGCAAGCTCAGTGTCACCAAACATCACATCCTCTCCTTGGTAACTCTCCCCAGGTTCCCCAGCTTCCCTGAGGGAACCCTCTCCCCATCTCAGCCCAGGCACACAAGCAGCAGCCTCACCTTGTAATATTTAAAACAATTTTATTCATGAAAATATGCTGTACAATGCACTATACACAGTTCTTTACATTGCCACATACACAAACTCTAATAGCACAACCAAGAAAGTTACCATTGCCTACGATAGATGTGTGGTGAGAGATGACCTCAGACCCTCCCCCCCAGTCTGTACAGTTATAAATACGAGGGAAAGGACGGACCCAAAACCACTGTATGAGCAAACCAGGGGGGCCCCTCGGCGTCCCCCCACACCAGCTCCAGGCAGGGCTGAGCAGGGGCAGGGCTGGGAGCAGAGGGAGCTCCGTGTCCTCAGGGCACCAGGGGGAGAGGGGGTGATGGAGCAGGGAGGGTGAAGCTGAGTGAGGTGGGACGTGAGGGGGCCTCGCTGTGTTCAGAGAGAGAACCCTCGGCCACCCCACAGTGACACAGAGCCCTGGTGTCCCCACACTCGCACTCACAGAGGGCATGGCCGTGCCAGCCACCCCCAGGGCCCCCAGGACCCGCCTGCCCCACGGGCATCAAGCACAGCCCCGAAACCCCCCGTGCCACCACCCCCCCCGGGTCCCTGGGCTCCCCTGCAGCCCCCCCGGCCCGGGGTCCCAGCCACTGTGGGGTCTCTGTGCCTGCCCCCCGCCGTCCCTCGCCCCGCACACGACTGAACACACGACGCTTCAAAACCAACACGACTCCACCGCACACACGACAACCCCACGGTCACGAACCACAAGGACACTGGGCAATGGGACGTGCCCCGGGGGGATTGAAGGGCTCCAGCAGCGGGGCAGGGGGGCAGCGGGGGGGGGGCAGGCATGAGACAAGGGGAGGGTTTTCTCCTGCTGCTGGTGTGGCTCCCCCTCCACACCGATGGTCGGGTCTGTGACACCACAGGGGGTTTGGGGGTCCCTGTGCCAGAGAATCCCATCTGCAAACGCCTGCCTGCTGGCCCGGTGTGCTGGTGTGCTGCTGGAGCTGTGCCTGGACACTGGATGCCTGGAAGAGCCAGGACCCTTCTGTTTCTCCCGTTCCTGGGGGCAGAGCCCCCCTTTTTGCTCCATGGCAGCCCTCCCTGCCCTCCCTGACTCTGGGTCCCTCACACCCCACGTGCTGAACTGGGGGGCCAGGGATTAATTTGCCATTTGCGACCGGTTTCCAAGGATTTGAAATATGCCTGAAACGAGAGGTGGTGTACAAAAGGAATGTGGTAATGATCCTGACCAAAGAATAACCCTTTTTAAAAAAGCATTCAAGAAAGATTATATATAATAGAATATATTAAATTCTGTACATGATCAAATAATGTAAACATAATTAATTAACTTGTAAGAATGTCTTCAGACACTGTGCCTGCTGTGTGCCCTGGTCAAAGGTGGACGGTGGCACATGGGGCTCCTCTGTCACACTTTGCCACAGCCCTGTGGGTCAGGAGAGGAGCAGGAGGTGCCCACCCACAGGTCCCTGCCCTGGCTCTGGGCAGCCACACTGTCCCTGCAGCTGGGACCCAGTGCCTGCACTGTGCCAGGGGAGCAGGTCCTGGGGCAAGAAGGGAAGAGCTGGGCTGGGAGAACATGCTGGTTCAGCAGCCTGACCCTGCTGCAAGGCAGGGGCTGGGGGTTAGAGAGAGCCTGTGGTGCCCAGGAGGAAGGATGGCTGAGCAGAGACTCCACAGGACAGAGCAGCTGCTCCCACCACATCCTCCCAGCCCCTCCAGTGCCTCCAGAGCACGGACCAGTCGCTGCTGCTGCCCGCCAGCCTGCCCCCTCCAAAACCCCCCTGCACCCAGGGCAGAGCTGCCCCACAGCTGTGCAGGATGGCTGTGGCCCCCTGGCCCACGCCTGCCCCACTGAAGCAATGGGGCCAGTTTGGGGTCCTGGCACACAGCAGGACCACGTGTGAATTGTGGTCCCCATCCCCACGGAGCCCCAGCCCCTGGAAGGTGGGTGCACCCCTCTTGCTGACAGCCCCCTGGACCAGCTCTCCTGGCACCTTGGGGATGGGCAGTGAGCCACTGGAGCCCCACAGCCCAGGCAGTGAGCCCCATGGCACCTCCCTGAGCAATGTGGGTCACCCAGGTTTGGGGCAGGAAGGACCTCACCCTGCACCTGGAGGCCTGGCCACCACAACCCTCCCCTTCTTGAGGGTGACTGACCTCCATCACAGCTTTCACCCCATCATCCAGCACCCAAAGATGATCATCCAAGCCAAGATGAGCCCTGTGACAGGACACAGCCACCAGCACTGCTCACGGCCTCTTTCTCCTGTCCCTAAGCTCGACCCTTTCTTCCTTCCAATGCAAAAACTCAATGGCAAAAGAGTGCATGAAATCAAATAAATACGCCCCCCTCCCCAACCCTGCGAGCTGCCCCTGAGCCTCCAGCACAGGGGACCCATTCCAGCAGCACATCACTCCCAGCAGGACCCCCCAGGGCCCTGCCCACGCCTGCCCCAGGCAGGGACTGCAGCATTCCTGGGGCACCCCCAGCCCCCAGCAGGCGAGGGGGCTGCCCAGATGCTGTTCCCAGGGCTGCTGCCTGCACACCCTCCCCTCCATCACCACCCCTCTCACTGCTCAGTAAGAGAACCTGCCTGGGGCCACACAAGGACACTCCCTGTGGAGGTGTCCTGGGTGTGTGGGCTTGGCAGAGCTCTGACCTCCACCAGGACTGAGGGGTGACGAGCCCCCCCAACCCTGGGGCAGGGTCCCCACTCCTGACACTTCTACCCAGAGGACTCATTTCCCAAGGTGGCTCAGGGAACAGTCCCTTCCCATGGGAAACGACCACACCACCAGCCGTCACCGCTCCGTCACCCAGCCCAAGGGCAAATCAAACTGGCACCATCACAGTGGGGCACTGGGACCATCTGGAAAGGCCTTCCCTTCCTGCTACCCCCCTGGATCCGTCTGGCTCCAGCTGCCTCTCCCACTCAGCTGCCCTGTGTCCTCTGGAGGATGCCCACGGGAGGACCCAGCAGACGGGGCACACGTGGGGCTGGGGGCCCTCCCCCTCCATCTCAGTATTTGACCCTCCGGTTTGTGTTCCGTGTTCAACCTCGAGCTCAGACCGACGGCTCTCGCCCATCTTAACAAACAAAGGCAGAAGAGAAAGGAAAAAAAAAGTTAGTCTCAATGTTCCCCTCGTGGCTTCCCGGTGGTCAGCCCCCCCCGGGGCGGGCATCACCCAGGCACCCAGCTCTGGTTTGTGGGCTGTGGCCCCCCGGGCAGCGCGGGCACGTTGAGCCCGTTCTGCGGCGGGAGGGCCGAGTCGAAGTTGAAGTCCATCTCGTCGCTGTCCATAAAGTCATTCAGGATGATCGACTCCACGTCGCACTCCAGGCTCCCGTTGAACATGTCCAGGTCCAGGTCTGCTGGGAACCTGTCTTGGCCCAACACGGGGGGGTGGACGGCCCCCGGGTAGGGGCCCTGCAGCGAATCCAGCAGGCTCATGTGTGCCCCTTGGTTATTGGCGTAGGGATGCAGGTGCCCGTGGTGCGGCATGGCCGCCATGCTGCACGAGTCGCTGGGCAGGCTCATAAGGCTGACAGGATTGGCTAAGGCACTGGTGTTGACCGCGGGGTGGTGGCCGGCTGGTGACGGGTGGTACAACGCGCCGCTCTTCATGAGAGAGCCCGGGTGGGACGGGTAGGAGGACAGGCCCTGCTCCCCGCCCCCGCACAGCAGCGGGTTGTGTCTGTGGCCACGGGCCGGCACCATGGGGCTGGCCTGCGGCAGGGGCAGGTCCCCCGGGACCATGCTCTCCTTGTGCATGTAGGAGATGGAGGAGAGCAGGTCCTGCAGCGAGGCGTTCCTGTAGGAGCTGACGGGAGAGAAGGTGGCCTGCTTGTTCTCCTGGATGGTCTGCATGGGCAGGCGGCGCATGAGGCCCATGGCCGGCTGGCTGTAGATGGTCCCGCAGTAGGTGTTGCCGGCAGCCCCCATGTTGGAGCACTTGGAGTTGAAGGTGAAGCTGGAGCTGCGCTGCCGCAGGGCGGCCGGCGGGAGCTGCTGGCTCGGGCTCATGGCGTAGCCATCCTGCAGGTCCTCCAGCATGCTCTCCCCGAGGCTCTCGTTCAGGCTGATGGTGCCGGTCAGGTCGGTCAGCCGGGGCAGCTCCACGGAGCAGCGGGCGCTGAGGGAAGGAGACATGGTGCTGGAGGGGCTGGGGTACATCAGCGGGGAGGAGGGGGTGCCATCATCCTCCTCCAGCTCGTCAGGCTCGTGGTTGGCCATGATGGGCGAGAGGCGCCCGCTCAGCGTGCTGGCCGTGGAGCTGGCGCGTGTCCGGAAGTCCGCCCAGGCGTCGTACTCGTCGCTGGCGTGGGACGCGGGGCTCTCCGACCACTTGGGCTGCTGGGAGGAGGGGCTGTCCTCCCCGCGCTCCTGTGTCACCTGCAGCTGCTTCTTCTTGCTGGCCTTGCCCTTGATGCGCAGGAACTTGCTGTTGTTGTCCATGGACACCGCCCGCCGCCGCGGCGTCTTGCCCGTCTTGCCGCCCTCGGGGTTCAGCATCCACCAGGAGCTCTTGCCGGTGCCCTCGTTCTGCACGCGGATGAACCGGGTGTGCAGGGACAGGTTGTGCCGGATGGAGTTCTGCAGGGACAGCAAGGACAGGGGGATGTCAGCAGCAGCTCCAGCACCTCAGAAGGGAGGGGACACCCAGAGGGCTGGGGGGCACACAGGGCATCATGGGGGACCTGGGCTCCATCCCCTGGGACAACATGGATGTCTGAGCCAGAGGGGTCGGGACCAGGAAGGCTCAGATGGTGGGTCCCTCTCACAGCCCTGCTGGACATCCCAGTGCCAGGCATCCCGTTTCCAGGACCCCGTGGTCACGGCCCTTCACTGCATCGACCAGCTCTGTGTTAGTGCAGTTACTGTCATGGCAGGGACAGGGGTGTCCCTGTATCCCAGGGACCTGCAGCAGGCAGGGCTGGGTCTCAGGGGACCTTTCTTCCCTGGCAGGAGCCCGGGGAGGGACAAGATGAGGAGGCAACAAATGCAGAGGCAGAATCAGGACCATGCACAGGTCCAGGTCTTCTCCCAGCCCTAGCAGATCCTATGGGATGCTCCCAGCACAGCCTGCACCTCTGCAGGATCCCAGGATCCCAGCCCACTCTCCACCAGCTCCACAGGCAGAGGGATCCCCTTTGGAGTGGACTCCAAGCCCCTTCCCCTGCCCAGCACCATTCAGGATGTGCTCCCCTCCTCCCTCAGCACACCCTGTGCAGGGCACGTCAGCACCACCACAGCCCAAAGCTACCTGTTGGCACCAGTGAGATCTTGTCCCCAAAATGCCTGTCACTGACAGTCTGTCTCTCTGGGTGTCTGCAGCCTGGCTCTGGTGGCAGGGACACACACCCTGCAAACCCAGCAGAACCCTCACTGCCCAGAGCAGGACTGGCTGGCGGCTGCTTCCTCCCTGGACACTTCTGGCTCCCTCCTCCACATCCAGCATCTCAGGGGGTTCCCTGCTGAGAGCAGCATTTGGTTCCCTTGGCTCAGGCTGCGGCCACAGCTCTGAGCAGCTCCCTGGCTGGAGCAGGGATGGCCTTGCAGGAGGCAGGAGTGGGGGTCACGTCCCAACACAAGCACCCCCAGCTGCCCCTGCCCTGGGGGGTGACAGGCTGGGGTGACCATGGGGCGATGCTTTCAAACCCCTGGCCTGGGGAAGGGAGGAGGTGAGGGTATGATACAGGCTGGGAGAGGAACCCATTGAGAGCAGCCCTGCAGAGAAGGTTCTGGTGGGTGAGAGGCTGGACGTGAGCTGGCTGTGTGCACTCAGAGACCATCCTGGGCTGCATCGAGGAGGAGTAGCCAGCAGGTCAAGGGAGGGGATTCTCTCCCTCAGCCCTTGAGAGACCCCACCTGCAGTGCTGCATCCAGCCCTGGGGCCCTCAGCACAGGAAGGTCACAGACCTGTTGAAGCAGAGGAGGTCACAGAGGTGCTCCAGGGCTGGAGCCCCTCTGCCCTGGAGCCAGGCTGGGAGAGCTGGGGGGGTTCCCCTGGAGAAGAGAAGGCTCCAGGGAGAGCTGAGAGCCCCTGGCAGGGCCTAAAGGGGTTCCAGGAGAGCTGGAGAGGGACTGGGGACAAGGGATGGAGGGACAGGACACAGGGAATGGATTCCCACTGCCAGAGGGCAGGGTTAGATGGGATATTGGGAAGGAATTGTTGGCTGGGAGGATGGCCCAGGTTGCCCAGAGAAGCTGTGGCTTCCCCTGGATCCCTGGAATTGTCCAAGGCCAGGTTGGATGGGGCTTGGAGCAACCTGGGCTAGTGGGAGGTGTCCCTGCCCATGGCAGAGGGTGGGACTGGATGAGCTTTGAGGTCCCTTCCAACCCAAACTGTTCTGGGATTCCAGGACTCCTGCCTGTCCCTGCTGATGTGCAGCTCCTGGGATGCCACCCCAGCTCCCTGTACCTCAGTTTCCCGGGGGCCAGAGGAGAAAGGCAAGATGCAGAGCCCAGGGAAGAGCATCAGTGTAGAGACCCTTCCCCCAGCACTGCCCGTGGCTCGGGGCTGGGCAGGGGCTGCTGGAGGGGGGAGGCAGCTCCCTGATCCTGCCCAGCTGCAGGAGGGACAGAGGGACAGGGAGGGGAAGGACCCCACAGTGCCGGGGAGAAAGTTTGGTGCTGTTGTGGTGTACAGTGGAATACTAATGAAGAGGAGAGTGAGCTCCAGCCTCATCTATCATATTATGTAATGGCTTACTTCTCTGCACTTCATTTATTTGGAGATTGCTCCCAGGCTGGCTCCTCGCCAGCAGCCACCAAATCCAAGTCTACAGAAATCAATCTCGCGCTGACTGATTAAGCCGTGTTTAGAACTAATTGCTCCTTCGTGTGTGGGGAGAATAAATTACGGGCTTTAATTTCACATCTTTAAAATGCAACTGCAGGTATGGGCCAGCTGTTAACCCCTTCCTGCACGGCTGGGGAGGGGCCTGGGGGGCGGTTGGGACACTGAGCTGCCCAAACGATGCTTGTCACCTTCAAGCAGAGCGAGCCAAGCCCTGGCCAGCCTGCCTGGCAGGGAGAGTGCCCCTGACCCCTCCAGCACCTCTCCCTGAGCCACAGTCTGACCCGAGCTTTCCTCCACGCGACCAGGCTGCCGTGCAAGCGGCAGGGACAGAAGCAGAGCACGTGGCTGTCACTGCCTTGGCAGGGCCAAGGCCACCAGCCAGCTCAGCCCCAGGCACTGCCCTGCACCCACAGGCACTGGGGGCTGAGGATGCCCGGGCTGGGCTTGCTGGGGTGAAGCTGCTGGGCCCCTCACGGAAGGGAGGACTCCCAGGATCGCCGCAGTCCCCCCGTGCCAGCGCTCCCCGAGTCTGCTCAGCCAGGCAGGCAGGAGCTGCTGCAGCCCTGTGCAGCTGGCATGGAGCTGCTATGCAGAGCACGGGGAGAGGGGCTGGGGTTTGCAGGGTTTGGGGATGCCACAGCTGGATGGGGGTGACATTCATCATCCTCTGCTACTGCCTCCCCCCGCCCCGCAGCTCCGGTGCAGGGCTCTCACACCAATTCTAGACACTGGGCAGGTAACAGGGCTACAGGGCTGGCAGGGTCAGACTGCCAAGGGAGAGGAGGGAAGGGGAAGCTTCTGCTTCTCCTGCAGCCGAGCTTCATTAAGAGCCAGCAGACAGCAGCAATTAAGTGCAAGGTGCAGCGGGCCCGGCTCTCTCCTCATTAGCACCCCGACATGCTCGGCTGGCCGCGGCTCGGGGCGCACGGAGCGGGGCCGGGGCTGCACCGGGGCGGGGCGGGAGCTGATTAAAGCAGGCAGGCAGGGACCTGCCCCCCACCACCACCCGGCAGCCCCCGGCTCCCACAGCCCCAGCCTCGGCTGGCAGGGAGCAGGCAGGGGACGCGCGGGGGACATGAGGGCTGGCAAAAGCCCCCAACAGCAGCTGCCTTGGCAGGGGTTGGAGTCAGGCAGAGCACAGGGGGTGCAGGAAAGGCTGGTGCCAGCCCCAGGGTCCCCACGATGCCTCTGACACTGCTCTGCCCCTCTCTGCCCTGCACCACTTCTCAGCAACCTGCACTCCTGGCCGTGCCCTGCACCCTCGCTGTGCCCCCTCCCCGTCCCCTGTGCCCCCGTGTCGCCCCTGCCTGCCCGCCCCGCTCCGATGGCTCAGCCCCTCTCTGGGATCCACAGCCCCAGGTACCCAAACGGCACCGGGCAAGGAGCATCAGCCCCCAGCGCACACCCAGAGCGTGCCGGGGGTGACGCCCACTCCTTCGGGTTCCACCGCTCCCCCGGCCTTCTGCCGAGGGCACGGGATGCTCTGGGTAGCGCAGGCGAGGGCCGGAGGTGGCACCAGGGGCTGCAGGTGGAGCGGAGCCCTGCTCAGCCCAGGCTGGCACCAGGGAGGGACGAGGCTGAGCCCGTGCCAGCCCCAGCCACCAGCTGCCGGAGGTTTTGCCAAGCTGGAAGACCCTGGTGCCATCCCGGTGCCCGTCTGCCGAGGGCTGGTCCTGCTGCGGGGCCTGAGGGGGGGCTGTGGGCACCCACAGAGCCCCCACCCCCCAGGAGCCCTCCTCCGGCGAGCCTCATTGTCAGGGGAACAGGCAGTGTGAAATCGGTCTGATTAGCAATTAGTCCCATTGTAAAAGGATTAGCCAGACCCATTGTTTGAGAGAGCGACTTGACTGTCAATGGGCATCTGGTAGCAACGATGAAGATGATGATGCTGCCGTGGTGGGAGCCATTCCCCATGTCCTCTGTCCAGACAGGACCTCTGAAATGAGCAACGACCCCCGAGACGAGCCTCGACCACCGAGCCAGGCACCGACCCCCGAGATGGGCATCGCTGCCAGACCCAGAGGGGCCTCTGCAGGGTCCCAAGCACCTGCCCATCCCCACACCAGCAGCATGCCCAGGTTACACCTCCAGCCTTGGGGTGCCCACGAGCGTTGGGGTACAGGGAGGGGAGCTGAACATCCCTCTGCGTGCCCCGAGGAGAGCACGGTGAGGGGAAACAAGTGCGATTCGAGTGAGAACAGGCAGAGAGCCAGAGCTGGGGAGAGCAAACGAGGGGCCCCGTGGACCCACTCCATCCCTGTCACATCCCCTGCACCCCTCTGCTGTCCCTACCACTGTCCCTGGGCTGCCACCAGTCCCCGCCGTCCCCACAGCACCAAGGGTTTTCCAAGCAAACCCAGCTACTCGCCACACATCCCACACCTCACAGCCCTGCTCTCAGAGACCCCCACGGCCAGGGTGTGTTGGGGGCTGTCTGTCTGCCCAGGCTGCCGGTCTAATGAGCCCCTTCGTTACCTGGTGGCGATTCTCACACTTGACAGGAGGAAGCAGGGACAGGGACAACAAGACTAACAAGAGCTCTGCCGGCTGCTCTCTGGCAGCACAAGGACGGCTCCAGGGGTTAATTGATGCTTATTCACTTCTTGCACACAAAAATTGCCACTGTTGGAGGAAATACTCCGGAGGGCAGAGGCTGCCGACAGCCTCGACAGGGCTCCATCCCTGGGGACGCTGTACAGGGCGGGTGGTGGCACGGGACATTCCACGGTGACACCCCCGAAGACATCCTATTCACCCAAGAAACGGCTCTGCCCGCGGGCACCAGCAGCTA